GGTCACCTGGATGGAGCCCCAGTGCGTCGCATCAAGTGGACGTTTTGCAGCGGCACTGATCAAAGACGTTCGACAAAGCGCTTGGACTCAGCATATCGTTGCACCCACCAGATATCGCCCAGGTCAGTTACCTTACTTGTATTCGATCATCACCAACGAAAGACACCTCGATCAGGTGATAATTAACACAGCACAGGACATAGCGACCACTGCTGACTTTTGATTTCATCTGCTACTGGGCCAGAGATCCCGAACCTCGAACGTAGGTTCAAAGCCTCCACTGTACAAATTTTTCAGGAATCCGTATCTTTCTTGAACAAGGCACAATTGGATCAGCCTCAGTGGAAGACCTAAATGGGACCATTGTCCAGAATGTTCCCGAGGCTGGCACGATGTCAGTCTCAAAAAATCAGAACGCTGTCGGATGATCCACAAGCTACCTAAAAGGATTCGGCACCTTCTGGAAAAGTGGTTTCGACTTTTCCTCAAAAAAAGTTGACTGCAGGAAACAGAAGATGAGTTTGCATTTCGCTAATTGCGAAACCGCTGTAAATAAGAAATCCGCCAATGGAGCATACAAAAGCAAGCTTCCATTCTGGACCTTGCCCGGAAAATCAGAAATTTGCTGTTCAACAGCATGGGAGGGCGCAGCAGAACCAAGCCGGCCGCGTTCTCCCCGGATAACAGGAACGATGAACTTACGAGTGATCCAGTATTGATATCTGAGGTCTACAGAGAACACCATTCGGGCCTACGTTCAGTCCCAGTGTCCTCGCCACATCCACTGTCGTCAAGGCGTAACTTGGAAAGGACCCTAATTGACTTGGGCTTCAGTGTGAAGGACATCTGCCAACTTGTTAGGCAGCAATCCACACGGATCCCACTTACCGCACGTCCTTTAGGTGCTGCTCCGCCGATAAGCCTGGCCCGCTCGAGGTTGGCCCAGAATTCGGGACGCTTGCCGGTCCGGCATCAAGGCGAGATCTGATTGGTCAACAATCTGGACCCAACAGCCAATCATGACCCAGTATTGGCCAAATGCCGGTTGCTAGTGGCGCATCCAGAACGCGTCAGAAAATTCCTGAAAGTTATAGCCGCTTACGTTATATATACGAAGCGCTGTACAACTGATCTTGATTTCGTTTTGGGCGTTAAAAGACCTTGTGCACCTTTGGTGGTGGTTTTGACGTGAACGCTAGCTTGGGAGGCGCAGACCGAGAACTAAGCTGAGGAAAATACCGTTACTACACAACTCTTGCACAAGATCAGCACATTCTGCGCGTTGGAGCCCTACAAAGTCCATTGACGAAGGCCGCCTTCCCCTGCTTTCAGGGGCGCGATTGTCACGCCAATCTACAAACTGGTGGTCGCCTGGCAGCTACAGGCCTACAAGTCTCACTAGAGTGCCGTGCAAGACGATGGAACCAATTCTGAAGAGAGCTGTCCTAGACCATCTTACTTCCAGCAGCCTGATATCTCCAGATCAACACGGATTTCTCTCAAACCGTTCTTGCGTGACAAACATGCTTGTGTTTATGGACAGCTTAACTCAAGCCAAGGACAAAGGGCTCATATTGGACGCCATATTTTGGACTTCTCAAATTCCTTACTATCCTGTTTATTGGTCGTCCGTTCCGACCGCGGTTTTACGCTGCTTCGGACATCGCTATTGTATTGGAGAAGCTTTGGCACACGCTTGAGCGACCTCCAGTCAGACATCCAAGTAGACCAAGTTAGAGCGCGGATTTACTGACCGGAAGGTCCGTGGTTCGAACCCGACCTCTGCCTCTCGACTTCCCCTGTCTAGGCCTGGGCAACCTGGCAGTAACCTAGCCGCTGTACTTTCTTGTAGTGGCGTGGCAGTTAGGCACCGAAAGGATGCTACAGCTGAACGGTCCTCCAGAACTGCCATCTGTGCATGTGGTGTTGGGTTGGGGCTTTCCGGGGAGTTGGAATGCTGCGTCTCTTCCGAGGGAACGACATTCATTGGGTCGTGTTGTGTGACAGCTGCCTGGGTCTTGACTGGTGCCACCAGCCGATTCTCCGGTTGCTGCTCCAGATTGGTCCGGTGATATCATTTGGTGCTTCGCTACGGTTTTGGAGCATCGGTCACTGTTCCACCGTACAGGCAGCTCCTCGACTTCGACCGGAAGCTATCCCAGTTTTTCGCCCCAGAGACCGGTTCCCTACCCTTCCTTGCCACAGGTTAACTTCAGCGCCTCGAGCAACAAGTTGTCCTGTCTGCAGTATTGTACTCCGCACGGATTATGTTTATCGTCGTGATGAAGAAGCTAAATTGGCCAACCCGCATCTGTGCCGTCTTCTCAACCGGCCTCAACGCAGCTATGGAGCAGCACCACACCCACTATCTGTGCCCATTAGGACCGGCGTCAGTTGTTCCACCGAACTAGACGGAGTTGACACATACTTGCATACTTACATACGCATAATTTATATACCTCGGTAGCTGTATTAGCTCTGACGGTAGTGTGTCTGAAGAAGTCAGTGCAAGAATCTTAAAGGCTCGAATATGTTTGCTAATTAGCAGCACTTGTGGCGTCAAGTAGACATCCTACTAGATCTTAAGGGTCTTGTGTACCAGGCTACAGTAAGGGGTGTGTTGTATGGGTGCGAGACATGGCCTCTGCGGACGAATGATGTGAGGCGTCTTCAGAGTTTCGGCCACAGATACCCCAGAGGTGTAGATGGTTTTGGATGACGTCAGCGTGTTAGTAACGAGGTAATTAGAAAACGGATATTTGGTTTTGCTGCAGGTAGATCAATCCGGGAAGATGTTGTAACTGTATTTTCCTCAGCTTAGTTCTCGGTCNGTTCTCGGAGCTGATCAAATTCGACTGACGTCGTGGGTTCCCGTTCGCCAATCGTTGTAACTGTATTTTCCTCAGCTTAGTTCTCGGTCTGAGCCTCCCAAACTAGCGTTCACGTCAAAAAACAAACACCAAAGGTGCAAAAGGTCTGTTAACGCCCAGAACGAAATCAGGAAGAGTTGTACGGCGCTTCGTATATATAGCGTAAGCGGCTATAACTTTCTGGAATTTCTGACGCGTTCTGGAGCTCTATTGGCAACCGGCATTTGGCCAATACTGGGTCATGATTGGCTGTTGGGTCCAGATTGTTGACCAATCAGATCTCGTCTTGATGCCGGACCGGCAAGCGTCCCGAATTTTGGGCCAACCTCGAGCGGGCCAGGCTTCTCGGCCGTAGCAGCGCCTAAAGACGTGCGGTATAGTGGGATCCGTGTGGATTCCTGCCTAACAGAAGACATCCAGCATCACCGACTACGGTGGCTCGGTCATGTGCTACGCATGCCGAAACACCGTCTACCGAGACAAGTGTTCTCCGTGCCTCCCTCAGGATGGCGCAAACCGCGAGGTGGATAGCGCATGAATTGGCAGAAGGGCTTGTGAGAGATCACGAAGAGTTTGGGTGTTGTTGGTGTTGTACGCCTCCCAGAACGGTGTCCCCGTGACCCCGCTCGTGCTTGGCTGGGGATGTTGCAAGAAATGGCGGCTAATAGATGTCAGTGGCGTTCGTGCTGCCAGTTTTTTACAAATTATCTGATTGAGCGGTTGGAGGTGTAGGCACCTCAAAATTCTTGACCTAGGCCAGCACTAGATCCCCTCTCACCTAGTGTTTTCTCTTTTCACTCTAGGGCTTAATATAATTATATATGTTATGGTTGTACGGCAGTCAAGCATCAGTTTCAACATTGTTGTTGCTATCTTTAATGATGATATAATGAATTTCATATGGAAGTTGCGCCGGATTCCCGATTTCTCATCATCATAATTATCAGCTGCAAGAACTGGGTACTGTTTTTACAGTGGTTGTAGCTGCCACATTTTGTCCCCCGATGAATTGTGGAGGTGGGGTCATCAACATCATCAAAGACAGCAACATCAGTGTTGGCACTGATGCTGCGCATCGGAGGCGGGAGCTTAATATTGGTGCGTAAATACAGGTCTGTCAGTAAATTTTTAAGTAGGGGGATTGGAAAGGGGGCTATGAATTAACGGCAAAAGCCTGTATGAACGAATGCCATTGAGTACACTACTGGGCCATATCTGGTCATATCCCTAAACATTGATGTGACCCGTTTCGGGGTCTCCATCCAGGAAAACGGCAATGACCAGCGCAGCTGATTTTGATGGTACCGGCTTTCTTACTTCGCTGCCAAGTCATTGTCTGACCTCATCTGGCTCGTTTTCACCTTTCTTTTGGTTCTGCAAAAAGAACCCTTTGAGGACGTCGGCCGACAGGCATACAGAACACGTGAACAAGCCAGTACAATCTATAAAGTGTGATCAGTTCGTCTGCCGATGGTGAATTGTTTCTTCTGAATACCATTCGACGTATTTCAGCATTGTTGATCCGGTGTTCTCACCAGATTCAGACAATTCTCCGCAGACGCCGGCGGTCAAACGCTAAGTCCTCGGAGCGCAATGACCAGGTTTCTGACCCGTACAGCAATATAGATCGCGCCGCAGCATTATAAACTAGACCCTTGACGGATAAGCCTACGCCACTGATGACGCAGGTTCACAAAAGCTGCTCTAGCCTTTCCGACCCTCTTGGAAATATCATCTTTCGTTGGACCATCGGGATTGATACAGCTGTCCAGGTAGACAATCGTTCAGCTGTAACCCCTTCGGTGCGTAGCTGCCATGTCACCAGAAGGAAACACATGAGCCGGGATACTGCCAGGTTACTAAAGCCTGGACAGGGGGAGTCGAGAAACAGAGACTTTGAACCTCGGACCTTCCGGTCAGTAAATCCGCGCTCCTACCACTAAGTCATCTCTCTCGCCAAGTAGGCAAACTTGTCTACTACCTCGAGTGGCTCGTCTGCAGGCGTAAGGCTAGGATTCGAGCTTACCCTATTTTGCGGTAGTGTTACAGTTCGATCACGCTGCGAGCAAAACAATATGATATGCGGATCGTGGCAATACTCTATCCCCAGCTATGTTGCTTGATCCAGACTCCTAGCAC